TAAACTCTCTGGCTGAGCCCACAGATTCTCTTTTCTCTGTTACAGTAAAAACTCGTCTTTAAGGTCAACATCCATCTACAAGAATTAGGACCTGGCCTGTTCCTGTCAGAGCTAACTGGCTAATAACACTCGGTTCCAGAAGATAAATGTCATATTTGTCCTCTGGATCTGCTCTGGTTTATTCTCAGGCTTCCAGATAAAGAACCTGGCTAACACTTTTATGCACAACTTCGCAAGAACTGGGCTCTAGCTAGCTACCCCGTTAGCATTGTATGCTAGCACATATCCATGTAAATGACTGGTGGTCTTATTCCTTTTTGAGCTAAACTCTGGAGTTAAACTCTCTGGCTGTAACCACAGATTCTCTTTTCTCTGTTACAGTAGATACTCGTCTTTAAGCTCAACATCCACACTTTCTTATCACATTCCAGAGAAATCTGCATGAATTAGGACCTAGCCTGTTCCTGTCAGAGCTAACTGGCTAATAACACTCGGTTGGGTCCAGTCTTTCAGAACCAGAACTGGCTTTTTGCTTTGTAGGGTCTGAAATCTGAGTGGAAGTGTTTGTTCTAAGGCTCTTTATGCTGATTTCAGATCTAAAACTCATTCCTATGATGACTTTGGATGAGTTTTTGTATCCAAACACGGCTGGTTTTAGTTCGATGGTTTAAAAAAAATAGGATCTTTGTCATTTCTCACGAGTTTTGACTGAATTTATTAATGAGTTTTGATCATTTTCATGATATTTAAGGCATAATTTGATACGTGAATAAATATCTTATCTCAAATGTTTCTTCTTCATTCTACAACTAAGGCTGGAGAACATGATAACTTTTAAAGTATTTTAAAGTTGATGCCCAGTTCTGTTAGTTGTGCAGAGGTGTTTGTTCTAAAGCTCTTTATGCTGATTTCAGATCTAAAACTAATTCCTATGATGACTTTTATTAATTTTTGGATTCCAAACACAGCTGGTTTAGTTAGATGGTTTAAAAAAATAGTTTTTTTTGTTTCCATGGTCTATTAAGAGGGAGTTACTGAATTTAGCTTAGATCAGATGTTACAGCAGAAATACCCAAAGGCAGAAAGAGAAAAACACAATAAGACGAGTAGAAGTTAAGGTTTTTAAAGGTCAGTGTCTGTGAGATATAAATAGAACCAAACATTACAAAGACAGTGATGGATGGAATTTAAACAAAGAGGGAAAAACTGCAGGTATGAATAATAGAAAAGAACTTTATTGATCCCACAGTGGGGAAATGTACACACTACAGCAGAAAAAGGGAAAAAGCACAGCGGAGGCATAAATAAATAAATAAATAAATAAATAAATAAATAAATAAATAAATAAACCATCAAATTAATTAATTGATAAATAAATAAAGGTTATTTATAATACAGCAAAAATAAACAAAGGTAATTTTTGAGAGTATTATTAAGAATAATAAATATATATATATATGTTTATCAAAAAGGAAAATCCTCTAAAAGCTGCAGCCCAAGGCTTTTTCTGTTTTTTAAATACCCGTCTTCTGCTTTATTCTGGCAACTTTTGGCTTAGAAACCGGATTTAACCAGCACCTAAACACACCTGAACATTCCTGCATGCTTCATTAGTTTATTTTCCCAGTAGCTCCCAGGATTCTGCATTTGTGCCACAGAAGGGACAGGAACCCCTGATTTCCTTCATTTCCTGAATGAGTTCCTGGTTTTGGTTCCTCTCACGTCAGTTTGGGACCAAAGGACCTGAAACTCTGAGTCCAGGACCGTAAACGAGGCCTTAAAACGAAGAACCAGGCGTTTATGGCTCCTTTCTGGGTTATTTCTGTGAAGCCTTTTGGATCCTTCTGCTGTGTGAGAGGAGAAAATAATCTGAAAATAGAAGTGATTAAAAAGCCTCTGAGATAATTCCTCCTGAGTCAGAGCCATTCAGAGGCTTTTCAGAGCCCGTTTTCCGCTTTAATCCGGACAGGAGGCAGAACAAAAACTCACTCTCAGTCAGTGGCTGGAGTCTCTAAACCAGGAGTATATATAATATATATATATATAGTGGTTTAAATCAGGAGTCCTCAAGGTTTTCCAGCCCAAGGACCCCAAACTGATGTAGGGGGACCCCCTAATTATAAATACTGTCGGAAATAGTGTTCTATCTATCTGGTCCTATAGTGTGTAAATGTCCCTTGTTATTGGGCATTCAATACTAAAATCCTCAGATAATCCAGAATACACAATACAATAAAACAGAAAAAGGCAGAAACCAGCAGAAAAAAACAGAAAAAGGCAGAAAAAAGAGCAGAAAAACAACAGAAAGAGACTGAAAAAGGCAGAAAACAGCCTAAAAACAGTTTGTAATGGGCATTCAGTTCTAAGATACTCCAATAATCCAGAATACAATAATACAGAAAAAGGCAAAAAACAGCAGAAAAAAAATGTAAAAGGAAAAAGGTAGAAAAACAACATAAAGAGACTAAAAACAGTGTGTAAATGTCCCTTGTTATTGGGCATTCAGTACTAAGATCCTCAGATAATCCAGAAAACACAATACTATAATGGAGAAAAAGGCAGAAAACAGCAGAAAAAAAACAGAAAAAGGCAGAAAAAGGTAGAAAAACCGCAGAAAAAGGCAGAAAAATTGTAGAAATACAACAGAAAGAGACAGAAAACAGCTTTAAAAACAGCCCAAAATTGCCTAAAAACAGTGTGTAATGTCCCTTGTTATTGGGCGTTCAGTACTAAGATCCTCAGATAATCCACAGGTTGATATCTTCCTGTTTCTACTGTAAACATCTGGTTCTGGTGATAGATAGATAGATAGATAGATAGATAGATAGATAGATAGATAGATCTGTTTACTACAGGCTGTTGGACTCATCTTCATGTGGATTGAAACACATTTACATTAGTGGGAAACATTACAAAAAAAAGTCTAATCAACCAAAACTTTCTTGACCCCCATCAGTACCTCTGGGACCCCGTAGGGGCCGCGGACCCTCTGTTGAAGACCTCCCTCTAAAGTGGTTCTACTTGTTCTTTCTGTGTGAAATGTGCTCCATAAATCAGTTAATTGAATCCAGTGGAGTCAAATCGGAGCAAACAGCCTGACTTCCACCCACCGGACCCTTAAACCTGAACACTGGCACTAAAGAGATGAAGTTTTTACGGGGAAACGGAGGGAAAATGGATGCAATCCATCAATCTGACTGGATGAGAATAAATCTGCATGAAAACGCGTCGACTCAGATTCAGAGTCACAATCAAAGCTGAACTCCTCCTCTAGAAGGTGGAGTTCCTCAAATTAGGAGGAATTCTAGGAACTACCGACAGCAGGTTACTGTTTATAAATTCTGTTAGACCAGGTTTTAGTGGAAAAATCACTGAAAGCTCATAAGGAGATGATGTCATCCATCTGCCTCCATCAGGATGCTAATGGAGCAGCTAACACGTTAGCTCTGGTGCTAACAGAGTTTCTCTGGTGCTAACCCATTAGCTCTGGTGCTAACAGAGTATCTCTGGTGCTAACACACTAGCTCTGGTGCTAGTACATTAGCTCTGGTGCTAACACAGTAGTACTGGTGTTAACACATTAGCTCTGGTGCTAACACATTAGCGCTGGTGCTAACACACTAGCTCTGGTGCTAACAGAGTATCTCTGGTGCTAACACACTAGCTCTGGTGCTAACACATTAGCACTGATGCTAACACATTAGCTCTGGTGCTAACACATTAGCACTGGTGCTAACACACTAGTTCTGGTGTTAACACGTTAGCACTGGTGCTAACACGTTAGCACTGTTGCTAACACACTAGCTCTGGTGTTAACACATTAGCTCTGGTGCTAACACATTAGCTCTGGTGTTAACACA